GCTTGGCTCAAGGGGTCCCCCCTTGCCCTGAGCCAAGCCCCGCCCCCTGCCCAGGCCATGCCCATACAAACAAGCCCCGCCCACCTCCTGTAGCCACGCCCCCATCTGCAAGAAGCCCCACCCACTAGCCCGGACCCTGTTGAGGCCCTGTCCCTTGAAGCCCCTCCCACATTGAAGCTCTGCCCCAGTCAAGCCCCACCCTCCTTCAGGCCCCGCCTATTGGTTAAGCCCCTCCCCATTTCACTCTGCAGGATTTTGTACCTGTCCCACCCCCACAGTGAGGCCACGCCCCTCTAAGCCCCACCCCCTTCCCCACAGTTGTCCCTGAGCTTCTCCCACCTGCCCCATCAAACCCCGCCCACTTGGCCACGCCCCTCCAAGCCCCGCCCATTATGTGACACCCCTCTGAAGCCCCACCCATGGCAAACATCTAAGCTCCGCCCCTTTTGCCTCACCCAACTAAGCCCCGCCCTCTGCAGGTGTCCCAGTGAGGCCCTGCCTTCTGCCACACCCTGCTAAGCCCCGCCCATTCAACCCTTCTAAGCCCCGCCCCATGCCACACCCCAAAAAGCCCTGCCCCCAGATGTCACCAAGAGGCATGTCCCTGCTAAGCCCCGCCCCCTTTGGCCCCGCCTCGCTAAGCCCCGCCCCTGCGCCGGGGGGTCCGGGGGGTCGGGGGGGTTCCGGGGAATCTGGGGGCTCCCAGGGGGTTCTGGGCTCTGGGGGTCCGGGGGGTCCAGGGGGTTTCGGGGGTCTCAAGTGCCCCGGGGATCTTGGGGGGTCCGGGGGTTCCAGGGGTGGATTTGGGTTGTTCAGGGGCATTTTTGGGGTGGTTTGGGGTTGCTCGAGGGTTTTTTGAGGTGGTTTGGGTTGTTCAAGGGCATTTTTTGGGGTAGATTTGGCGTTTCTAGGTATTTTGGGGGTATTTTGGGGATTTTTGCCGTGGTTTGAGGTTCTCCCACCCCTCCCCAGCCCCAATTTTGCCACGACCTGGACGAGGTCGAGCGTCGGGAATTTAAACTTTTCGCCCAACGCCGAAAACGGGAAAATTTGGGCCAAGGGAGCGTCCGACCCCTCCCCCTCACCAGCGTGGGCGCCGTCTGCCAGCAGGTGGGGGCACCCCAAAAACGGGACCCTAAAAACGGCACCCCTAAAACGGGCACACTAAAATGGGACCCCAAAAATGGCGACCCCAAAAATGGCACCCCCCAAAAAAAGTCGTGTGGGACCCAGGAATGGGGGTGGGAAGCCCCAAGATGAGGGAGGAACCCCAAAAAAGAGGGAGCGAGGATGGGAATATTTGTGGAGGTGCCCAAATCCGAGGGAGGGGAGCCCAAAAATGGGGGTGAGGGACCCCAAAACCGGGGTGGGAGCCTGTGAATGGGGGGGGTTGCACCTCAAATTTCCAGCCCCCTGACCCCCGTGGTGAGGGTTGGGAGCTATAACCGGGGGGATTGCACCCCAAATTCCCGGGGTGCCCTTGTGACAGCCCGGGCTGAGGGGTGGCTGCTCTGCGGGCGGCACCACGGCGACAGCGTGCGACACCGCTGCCCCGGCTGCGACGAGGTGCGGGCGGGGGGATATGGGGTCCTGAGCTGTGGTTATGGGGTGCTGTGGGCGGTTATGGGGTGGGTATGGGGTGCTGTCAGTGGTTATGGGGTGGTTTTGGGGTGCTCAGGGTGGCTATGGGGTGCTGGGAGCTGTTATGGGGTGGTTTTGGGGTGCTATCAGTGGTTATGGGGTGCTGGGAGCAGTGATGGGGTGGTTATGGGGTGCTCAGGGTGGTTATGGGGTGGTTATGGGGTGCTATGGGCAGTTACGGGGTGCTGTCAGTGGTTATTGGGTGCTCAGTATGGTTATGGGGTGCTGTCAGTGGTTATGGGGTGGTTTTGGGGTGCTCAGGGTGATTATGGGGTGGCACCACGGCGATAGCGTGCGACACCGCTGCCCCGGCTGCGACGAGGTGTGGGCTGGGGGCTGAGGGGGTGCGGTCCTGAGGCGTGGTTATGGGGTGCTCAGGGCAGTTATGGGGTGCTCATTGTGGGTATGGTGTTTGTGGGGGGGTTTGGGGTGCTCCGTGTGATTTTGGGGTGCTGACTGTGGTTATGGGGTGGTTATGGGGTGCTGTCAGTGGTTATGGGGTGCTCGGGGTGGTTATGGGGTGCTGTCAGTGGTTATGGGGTGGTTTTGGGGTGCTATCAGTGGTTATGGGGTGCTCAGGGCAGTTATGGGGTGCTGTCACTAGTTATGGGGTGCTCAGTATAGTTATGGGGTGCTGGGAGCAGTTATGGGGTGGTTATGGGGTGCTCAGGGCAGTTATGGGGTGCTCAGGGCAGTTATGGGGTGCTCATTGTGGGTATGGTGTTTGTGGGGGGTTTTGGGGTGCTCCGTGTGGTTTTGGGCTGCTGACTGTGGTTATGGGGTGGGTATGGGGGGCTCTGTGCACTGACCCCCCCCGTGCCCCCCAGCTAATTTTGGGGGTCTCTGGGGGGGCTCTGGGGGTCCCTGTGGCACTGACCCCCCCGTGCCCCCCAGCTGATTTTGGGGGGCTCTGGGGGTCCCTGTGGCACTGATTATGGGGTGCTATGGGCAGTTACGGGGTGCTGTCAGTGGTTATTGGGTGCTCAGTATGGTTATGGGGTGCTGTCAGTGGTTATGGGGTGGTTTTGGGGTGCTCAGGGTGGTTATGGGGTGCTGTCAGTGGTTATGGGGTGGTTTTGGGGTGCACAGGGTGGTTATGGGGTGCTCATGGTGGGCATGGTGTTGGTATATGGTGCCCAGTGTGGTTATGGGGTGCTGTCAGTGGTTATGGGGTGCTGAGGGTTGTTATGGGGTGCTGGAAGCAGTTATGGGGTAGTTTTGGGGTGCTGTCAGTGGTTATGGGGTGCTCAGGGTGGGTATGGGGTGCTGGGAGCTGTTATGGGGTGGTTTTGGGGTGCTATCAGTGGTTATGGGGTGCTGGGAGCAGTGATGGGGTGGTTATGGGGTGCTCAGGGTGGTTATGGGGTGGTTATGGGGTGCTATGGGCAGTTACGGGGTGCTGTCAGTGGTTATTGGGTGCTCAGTATGGTTATGGGGTGCTGTCAGTGGTTATGGGGTGGTTTTGGGGTGCTCAGGGTGGTTATGGGGTGCTGTCAGTGGTTATGGGGTGGTTTTGGGGTGCACAGGGTGGTTATGGGGTGCTCATGGTGGGCATGGTGTTGGTATATGGTGCCCAGTGTGGTTATGGGGTGCTGTCAGTGGTTATGGGGTGCTGAGGGTTGTTATGGGGTGCTGGAAGCAGTTATGGGGTAGTTTTGGGGTGCTGTCAGTGGTTATGGGGTGCTCAGGGTGGGTATGGGGTGCTGGGAGCTGTTATGGGGTGGTTTTGGGGTGCTATCAGTGGTTATGGGGTGCTGGGAGCAGTGATGGGGTGGTTATGGGGTGCTGTCAGTGGTTATGGGGTGGTTTTGGGGTGCTCAGGGTGGTTATGGGGTGCTGTCAGTGGTTATGGGGTGGTTTTGGGGTGCACAGGGTGGTTATGGGGTGCTCATGGTGGGCATGGTGTTGGTATATGGTGCCCAGTGTGGTTATGGGGTGCTGTCAGTGGTTATGGGGTGGTTATGGGGTGCTGAGGGTTGTTATGGGGTGCTGGAAGCAGTTATGGGGTAGTTTTGGGGTGCTGTCAGTGGTTATGGGGTGCTCGGGGTGGTTATGGGGTGCTGTCAGTGGTTATGGGGTGGTTTTGGGGTGCTATCAGTGGTTATGGGGTGCTCAGGGCAGTTATGGGGTGCTGTCACTAGTTATGGGGTGCTCAGTATAGTTATGGGGTGCTGGGAGCAGTTATGGGGTGGTTATGGGGTGCTCAGGGCAGTTATGGGGTGCTCAGGGCAGTTATGGGGTGCTCATTGTGGGTATGGTGTTTGTGGGGGGTTTTGGGGTGCTCCGTGTGGTTTTGGGCTGCTGACTGTGGTTATGGGGTGGGTATGGGGGGCTCTGTGCACTGACCCCCCCCGTGCCCCCCAGCTAATTTTGGGGGTCTCTGGGGGGGCTCTGGGGGTCCCTGTGGCACTGACCCCCCCGTGCCCCCCAGCTGATTTTCGGGGGGCTCTGGGGGTCCCTGTGGCACTGACCCCCCCGTGCCCCCCAGCTGATTTTCGGGGGGCGCTGGGCCGAGGCCGGGGGGCGCCGCTGGCACCTGCGGCACCTGCGCTGCCTGGAGTGCGAGGGGCCCCTGGAGCCCCGGGACCTGCCCGGGGAGGGGGCGCAGCCCCTGTGCCCCCCCTGCCGCGCCCGCCGCGCCCACCTGTGCGACACCTGCGGGGACCCCATCGGTGAGGGGCGGGGTCCCGGGGGGCTTGGGGTCTCTGGGGCAATTTGGGGGTCCCCAGGGGGGTTTGGGTGTGTGACCTCTGACCCCTGTGTGACCCCTGACCCCTGTGTGACCCCTGTGTGACCTCTGACCCCTCTGTGTGACCCCTGACCCTTCTGTGACCTCTGACCCCTGTGTGACCCCTGACCCCTGTGTGACCCCTCCATGACCTCTGACCCCTCTGTGACCCCTGACCCCTGTGTGACCCTTGTGTGACTCCTCTGGGACCTGTGGCCCCTCTGTGACCTCTCTGTGACCCCTGACCCCTCTGTGACCCCTGACCTCTCTGTGACCTCTCTGTGACCCCTGACCTCTCTGTGACCTCTCTGTGACCCCTGACCTCTCTGTGACCTCTCTGTGACCCCGCTGACCTCTCGTGGTGGCCTCAGCCTCAGGGACCTCCTGCTGACCTCCTGCTGACCTCTGCTCACCTCTGGGGGCTTCGGTGCTGACCTCTGCCCTCTGCCCCCCTCAGGCCTGTGCTGACCTTTGACCTCTCCCCCCCTCCCGGGCCGTGACCTTTGCACTGTGACCCCCGTGGCCCCCCAGGGACCCCCCGACCTGTGCCCGGTGACCTTTGACCCCCGGAGCGCAGCTTTAATAAAGGGGCGGTGCCCCCGTTGTGTCCCCGCTGTCCCTGGAGTCCCGGTGACGTGTGGGGGGGGCGGGGTCCCCGGGGCCGCCATCTTGAACGGGACCCCCCGAAAACAGCGCGGGGCCAACGCCCCCCCCAACATGGCGGCGCCCGTGCGGGCCGCGCGCTCTGATTGGCTGAGCGCCAGCGCCTGCCCGGCGGCCGATTGGTCGGGTGGGATCACGTGGGCGGCGGAAAGGCCCGGGCGGTTACCGGGGCAACGGGGGCGGGGCTAAGGGGCGGTGCGGTCACGTGAGCGGCGCGAGGCCGGCGGCGGCTTCCGGTGGGAGCCGGGAACGAACTGGGACCGAACTGGGGTAAATGGGAGACCGCACTGGGACCGAACGGGGGTCTGGGACCGAACTGGGACCGAACTGGGACCGAACTGGGACCGAACTGGGACCGAACTGGGACCGAACTGGGACCGAACTGGGACCGAACTGGGACCGAACTGGG